AAGCCCCAGCGATGGATGTCGGCCACCTTCCTTGAAACCTAAAAGCCTGGAGGCAACGTTTGGAGTGTGAGGATCGCTCTGAATTTTAGGATTATTATACAGTGTATAATGATTTTCAATGGTCAGGAGCTGAGATTTAAGCAGGACTTTATAGGGACTTTATATCGTGGCCTCCTCTGAACAAATCTTGACAAGAAAAACCCCATGATTTAGGGACGCCCTGCACTGGAAATGACTTGAAGGCACACAACACACACACAAACACACTTTCAATGATGGTGGAGGGGGTTTCTCTGGATGGGAAAAAAAGTCTCCCGTGTGGCTCTGAGTGCAAATCTTCACCGTCCTGGTCTGGTCTGGACAAATATTTGGCAACCTCTTTGCTACAGCAAATACCAGAGCCACAAAGGAACCCACAACCCACCAAGTACTATGGCACTCCGATGAACGAACGGTTCTGTAGAGGAATTTTTTTTGAAAATCCTTAAATATTGAAGTTTATCACTTGTTTTGTTAACACCCACGGATTATTTTTTTGTTTTTTAATCTGCGACTATACATCTGTATTTTTTTTAACAAGGCAAATTAATTGTTTTTTAGATGGACGCACCCCATACCTGCCTATTCTTATCCCATATACTTAGGAGTTATAGGATATCTTTTTTGAAAAATGGTAAATTAAGTGCGTGTGAAGGGGAAGGTCCTTTCTTTCCTTTCCTTTCCTTTGCTATGACTCCTCAGGCTTCTCTCTCTCGATCGCACAGAGAAAGGAAATTTAAATGGAAAGATCAGGCATTTTAGATCACATAATGGGTACGTCTGCACTGAAGAAATAATGCAGTTCCGACACTCCTTTAAAAGTGCTGTCGCTCCTTCTTACGGAATCCGGGGATCTGTAGTTTTACAAGGTCTTTGGTCTTCTGTGACAAAGAGAGCAGGTGCCTCACAAAAGTACAAATCCCAGGATTGTGTAGGACGGAGCCATGGCAATTGAAGGGGTGTCGAACTGCGTTATTTCTACAGTATAGACGCGCCCCTTGATATAAAGGATTGTGTCCCTCACTCTTCTTTGCAAGCAAAACTTCATTTTTGGGGATCGGGAGAAGCTTAGCAGGATGGCACAGACCCCCAATAGTCTCCCTCTCCCCCCCCCCTCTGTTTTGCCCCAAACCCATGTTGGCTCCGCTTTGGAAACTACATTTCCCTGAACTCCGTAGCATGGAGCCACGGCGCTTGAAGCGCTGTCAAACTGGGTTATTTGTTTCTGCAGTGCGGATCTTAAGCTTGGAGTTCAGCTATTTCCACTTGACTTATCTCCAAAGAAGAACAGATAGAGTTTCCCCTTCAAATAACTTAACCAAAGAGTTAGTTATCTTCTTCCAGTCTGTGTTCCTCTATGTTTCTTTGATTTTTACTGCGGGGCTTGTTGTTGTTGTCGTTGTGTGTTGTGTGCCTTCAAGTCCCTATCATGGGGTTTTCTTGGCAAGTTTCTTCAGAGGGGGGTTTCGGGATTTTTAGGTTCTGCTTACATTGTATTAACATCTTTATGTAAATTTTAATGTTGTGAGCCACCCCGATTGCTCTGCAGAGGGGCGGGATATAAATTATTATTATTATTATTATTATTATTGTTGTTGTTGTTGTTGTTGTTGTTGTTGTTGTTGTTGTTGCCATCCTCTGAGGCTGAGAGAGTGGGACTTGCCCAAGGTCACCCAATGGATTTACATGTGGGCTTACTCCCTAGGAAGAGAGCGTCTCCCTAAAACCCCATAAGGGGAGGTTATGGACTTGTGGGAGAGACAGCATGGCCTAGTGGTTTGAGCGTTGGACTAAGAAGACTCTGGTGAAGAGGGTTCAAATCCCTGCTGGGCCATGTAAACCCACAGGGTGGTCTTGGGCAAGTCACGCTCTCTCAGCCTTGGGGGAAGGCAAATACAACCCCCCTCTGAACAAATCTCGACAAGAAAACCTCATGACAGGGTCGGAAATGACTTGAAGGCACACAACAAGAAGGCCCAAGCCAAGGGGCTGCTGGGGTCCGGCGACCTGTTTCCCCCTCGCACTGGCCAACTAGGCGCCTCTTCTGGAAAACCCACCATCCGCTGGGACAGGATTAGAGAGCCACAGCCCTTCGCCTCCATCCCGGCCTGTCGCTCTCCAGCACCTGGCCTTCAGGTGGACTGCCTCGGCCGCTGGAGGATCTACAGGAGCAGAATGCAGAAGAGCCCTCGGCAGACCGCTCTCGCAGCCCCTTGCAGCCCACTTTTCTTGCGGCTGTGACTTCCTCACTTCTTTCTGCCCTGCCCTGACGCCCACTTTTGGATGTTTTAGCTGTAGAAACTTGCCAAGAAAACCGCATAACAGGTTCGCCTTAGGGTCGCCATAACGTTTTAGCGGTAGGCAGGGTGACCAGACGTCCTCCTTTTCCAGGACCCGTCCTCCATTTCAGCCTTCTGCCCAGGAGGGAATCCCAAAAGGACTTCCATTTTGAGCATGAGCAAGAGAAGCATGAACCCACATTTATATTAGTGGTTTTAGCTTCTTATGTGCTCGTGTCCTCCATTTTTCTTGCCTCGTCCTCCTTTGTGGTGAGGACCTCTGGTCACACTGGTTCTAGGATATGTCTGTGTGTGTGTGTGTGTGAGAGAGAGGGAGAGACCAGTTTTATTAACAGGCTGAAAAAGGGATGGGAAAGACCCCCTTCTCATCATCATCATCATCACCATCACCATCATCATCAATAACAATATCCGTCGGAGATTCCGGAATGAGAAAGGATCATCTTGAACCGAATCACAACAGGTTTCAAGAGATGGGACCTCATTCAACGCTCCTCCTCGACCGAGGGCCAGCGTTTTGCTGCGCTTTGAGCGTTGGCATTACGACTCTGGTGGGAGTCCAGGGTTCGAATCCCACCCGCTCGAGCAGTGAAACCCACTTGGGAGCAAGTCACACTCTCTCCACCTCAGGGGATGGCAATGGCAAACCCCACGGAAGAGACTCGCCAAGAAAAACCCTAGGATCGGGACGCCCGACGTCCCAACTGACTTGGAGGCACACTACAACCAAAAATGGACCTGACTAAAAACAAAACAAATCAAAAAGCCTCGGTTCCTTCCCTAACTCCCTCCTTCCCCGGCCGCCTTGCAAGACCAGGGAAAGGAAGAAGTGGGCAGGGACGGGACTCGAACCCAGGGCCTCCTTTTCCTCTCTCTCTCAGCCCCGATGGAGAGATTCCCAAGGAAGGGGAATCAGGAGCGCGCCTGGGTTGCGCGCACCAGCAAAAAAGCCCCGAAGCGATCCAGAGACAAGAACCCCCCCCTCTCTGTGTCCTACAACCGGGATGAGACCGATTTATACTCCCCCTTCATCCCAGCCCACTCCAAGCGGCGACCTACCGAGCTCCGTGGCTGGTTTTGCCTCTCCGCAAGAGTCCCGTCTGCCTTCAGTGGAGGAAGAAAGAAAGAGAGGAGAAGAAGAAG